TCAATTGGAACCAAACGGGGTCACTGAAGCAGACCAAAACATTCAAAGGTCTCAATGAAAAATAACCTAAAAAGGTATTCCCCATGGAAACAGCTATTAGGTTTAATATGTGTATACATAAATAGGCTGAGGGTTCTCTTGATGCCAAGGCTGCGCTGTTGGGTTAAACCAACTCAGAGCATCCCTTAGTGTGTATATTAGAGAATGAATGGCTCCACTTTATGTGCAAAAGAATAAAAAAAGGAAAAATTGTAGTTCTCATACTGAAGCACATGGTCTAAAAATGTGTCTCTTTGATTTTAGGAGATGGCGAGTGCAGAGCTGAAGCAGATCAGGGAAGCTCTGACTAAAGAATCCATCAGAGAACATCAGCTGTCAAAGGTCGGGGGAACCGAGACGGACATGTTCATCTGCAGCAAATGTCACGGCAAGAACTGTACATACACACAGGTAGGGAAACCCAGAGACCACCTCAGAGGAATCCCAAACTGTTTTCCTGTCTGTTTTTTTCAACTTGATCTGGGTTTGATTGACAGGTGCAGACCCGCAGCGCTGATGAACCCATGACGACCTTTGTTCTGTGTAACGGCTGTGGGAACAGATGGAAGGTGAGGAAGTCCCTTCAGTCATTTACAATGTTTGTGGGATCTTGGCAAAAAGTTTCTAAATCATGTGAGTCAGGATCAGTTTAAATGTTCTAAAGGCTGATGTTCTATCAGAAGGTAGCAGCAGAGACCGGCCTTACTCTCCTCCTCTTGCTCCACCTTCTCATTTCACTCCTTCATCTTGCTCTTCATGTCCTCTGTTTTGTTTTTTTTCCAGACTTCTTTCCATTTTTTGTCCCCCCCACCCCTCCTTCCTCCATCTTCTTCAGTTTCATCAGTTCATTCCTTTACCTCCCTCTCAAGTCTCAGACCCTTTACTTTCCTTTTGACCCTCCCATTTATTATCTCCACCTTTCCCCTCCTTATTAGTCCTTCCTTAATTCCCCTCTACTATTCTCCCCTCCTTCATCCCTCCCTTATTTAGCTTCTGGATCGAGGTGAGGTGACTAATTTCCCCTGCTGCTCTATATTGCAACTTGTAAGAATAATCGATGGGAATCGTGGCACAGATTTGAATAAATACTTAAAGCTGCTTCCGTTTCCCAGCTGGGTTCAGCATAATCAGCCTAAACGGAGAAATCTCCCACTTTTCCCACTAGCTGGATGCTACCGTATTGTTAGAAGCTTATCACAGCTTGTTCGCTGCATCTCTTAAGAGGTTTATACTGAAAGATCAAGTTTCAGTAATACTACAAGATGTTCTAAATGAGGCTGTCAAAACTGCAAAAAAAAAAGGTTATTCTTTTTCTAAAATATTATTTGAAATAACATTTTAGTTTATAGTTTTTCAAATAAGGGATAATCAGTACAAACAAGATTAGGCTTAATCTCACAGGTTAAGTTTAATTTTGGTCATGAATGTTCTTGGAAAATGTGAAGAGATAAGTCGCTTGTAATGCCTAAAAAATTTTTTGTTTAGCAAAATGTGAAAGTTTTTGTCAACCATAAACTTTAAAGTATTACAGGGAGCACTGGGTAATATATTGCAGAATCTGTGATATTAAAATATTTCGATGGCAAAATGATATTGATATCAGCTACTTTTTATATATAAATGGACCTTCATTTGTCGGGACCTTCAACATTAATGACAAAGTCATTTGTGTCCAGTCTGAGCATCTGCTGCCTTTAGACTCTGCCAAACACAGAATTGGTATTATATAAGCAAAACATGTGAGTTTATAACATTTGGAATATATTAGACAGCATTTACTGCACTTCAAACAGCACTATGGATGTTGAGCATGTTAATATTTTTATGGTAAAATATTTTCCATTCATTCTGCAGCCTTATTAGATAAGACTGATCAAAACCAGAGCTGTGATGATTTCCTGGTCAGGGCAACTTAAAGAAATGCATTTTATTTCAAATATATTTAATTTTTCTTACAAAGAGAAGGATCTCTTGGATTTAAGGGATCTGCCCTGTTGCTGAAGCTAAATTTGAACTTTATATACCTATTGAGCAAACTTTAATCATGCTGTTTTTTTCTCTTTTCACAGTTCTGTTGAAGACACTGATGGGTGGGTGTGTTTGTGATGCTGTGAGTGTGTGTGTGTGTGTGTGTAAATATATCATTCAGAAAAGAAAAAGTTGGTACAATAATTTAACTTACATTTGGAACAACAGTATTTTTTTATTTTCTAATTTCTTCATATAACCCTAAGAGTTGTAATATACTAAGATAAAACATTCCTGTTATTTGATTTGTATGGAGCTCAGATATGTTGATTTAATATGGAGCAAGCTTTGAGCCTTGTGAAAGTGATGGATCTGCCAATATTTAACTTGTTTTTCTGCATTTTTTTTTTCTTCTTAAAGTTGTATTAAAGTTGCTCCTGGATTGACATAAAATCACGGAGTCATTTCCTTCATTATTAAACTTAAGAAAAAGGTTCTCAACTAAAAGAAGGAAATTTTTAATAGCAACATGACAGATTTCTGGTTCATATTTAAATCACTGCTTGGCCTTAAATAGCAGTAGGCTGGAGCATTAAGCTGACATTTCACATTAAATTTACATATTTAAGACTGGGGAAAAAAAAACAAATTCTTAATCCCACTTTTATCCCTCTGAAAAAGAAACTAAAATTAATATTTTTTGGCATTGGTGGTCATTTGTCACTGAAAATATTTTGTAACTCAAGAATATTTATTGAGAGAAAAATCAGGAAAAAAAATGCAAAATCACTTAGCATGGCACCGCTCTACTAGGTTAGAGGCAGAGAGAGGGAACTCTGAGCTTTTCTTATTGTGCTCCAGAGGATATTCTAGGTCTATATGGTTATTCTCCTCAGTGCAGACCACAGGTTTCCTACAGGAATTTTACTCCATGCGTTCATCCTTTAGATGATTCAAAACTGGCCTGATCAAGAGGCACCTTCTGCAGAGGCAGGGCACTGTAAGTTTTTATATTGCATAACGGAAATTCACATTGGACTTTGGCTATTTCAGAGGAATTTGGATTATTTTTTGTTAAATTCTATTATTTCAATACTTAAGGTAAATCAGTCTTATTTTCTAATTTCAAATATTTTTTCCCCCATAAATGATCCATGAACTGCTGCTTTTTTTGAAATGTTTAAACACTGAACTGTTCACTTGAACGTATACAGCTTTGTCAATAAATTTCTTAAAAAATGAACGATTTTACCAGAAGTGTTCGAGTAAATCTACAATGAAGGTCTGCAGACCTGATACCTCCATGGTAATACTTTGGGTTTATACTAGTGTTGCACCGATACCAGTATAGGACAGGGCCCCGATACTGCCCTAAAATGGTGGTATCGGTATCGGCGAGTACCAACAAATAGGGCACCGATACCATTTTGAGAGCCATAAGTTTATTCAACTATTGTCACCCACTCCTGGTAGGCAATAAAAAGTTCTACTGGATTCCCTTTGTATTAGATTTTTTCCTGCTTCACAAAGGTAGGCAGCAGATGACAAAGCCATGATGGCAATTATTTTACATTATTATGGTATCGGCATTGGCCCATACTGCACAGCCAGGTATCGGGTATCGTATCGGGGCCAAAAAATGGCATCGGCGCAACACTAGTTTATACCCTCTACTAAGGGCTAACACTAATCCTAACATTGGTGGATGAGAAGCTTAGACCTAAGATAAGTTGATTTAATATGACTTAATTAAATTCCCGTTTTTGGATTTTGAGTGATGATAGTAAAAGTAGCGGTGCCATGCCCCTCTTTCATTCACGGTTCCTGACCAAAGCACACATTCCCGGTTCAGGTCCCATCTGACTCCACATAGTTATGTTTGTGCTGGTAAGACAGAAAAGGCTTTTTCCTGTTTTGCTTTCCAAACAACCACTTAGCATGTCGATGGGGTCTAATGGTTGCTATGGTGACCTCTAAGTTGGCACTCTTTGCTGCAGTTCTATAAACAAAGAACTGAGGTTTTTGTACCTGCATTACCATCATTTTCACTGTGCACGTCAAAGAACAAACATGTCTGTGATAGAGACAGTTTAAACCAGAATATTGAGCCTACTCCACTGTTGTTACTGGTTTCCTGAATGATTGAGTCTCCCTAACCCAAAAAGTTATGTTCTCTGGTTATTTTCATTTTAGGTGACATCTAATATGCCTGTCTGACATACTGTATACCCAGGGAAAACTTGGAGTCATTGGTGGCTAAGAAAAAGTGCATTTCATTTCATCTATTTTTGACAGAAACAGAGCAAACAAAGGGTGATAAAGCAAAGCAGGTCACTAAAGTGCTGAATATAAGTTTATAGCTAAATCAAATGCTCAACTTCAGTCCCTGGTTAGGCTTTTCTAAAAAATAGATTTTGCTCACTACACTACTTTAAGTTAAGAAAATAAAAATATCATAAAATTGTAAAATATGCATCTCATACATGCTGAGTACAGCTTGGGTTTGTCTTTAAACAGTTTTTAAGCCTGATAGTCAGCATTTAAAAATCAGCTACAGTCTTGATGTCAGATGGTAATGAGTTCCAGAGCTTAGAGCTTCTAGTAAATCAGATTACATTTTAGACATTTAAGGAGATTCTGATCATCTTAAAGACATTACTCTGAATACGTTTTAAAAGGTTCAGCAATGAAATTCTTTGTTTTAAAGTAATGGTTTCTAGTTATGATTTTAAATACAATCCTTGGATTGGAGGCTATTTCCTACCCTTTTTAACCATTTATTACAAAATAAAATAATTTTAACATTTAAATTTAAGACCTGATCTGCAGCAGAGAAGCAAAGTCAGCAGTTTTTTTTTTTTTTTTGCTTTTTTCCAAGTTATCAGAAGGGTTGAAATATGCATGTAACAATATATCAGCTGTAAGGGAAATGGTTTTAGATCTCAATATCGGTCAATTCCAGATTATTTTAAGACTGAGAATTTACATTTTAAACAAAGTGCTGATGGGTTTGTCTAGATCATGATGTATCAACTCATTAAATCTTTATTACAGATTATATTCAGAAAGTAAAGAACTAGTAAGAATTGCAATCCTACTGTTCCATGAAAGCGAAGAACATTCTCAGGAGATAAATTACTGACCCTGACCTGCCATTAAAAAAAGCAAAGACAGAGAATGATGGTTTAAATGAATCTTGGATACAGTAGAAAGCCAAGTTACACTGGTTATTTTCTGCATGATGGCGGTGGTGTTGAGCATGTTGACGGAGATGACAAGTGGTGAGAAAGCAGAGCACCAAAGGTTCCTGCAGTGTTTGTTGTGGAAACAGCACATAGCTCTTCCATACATGAGCATAGGAGGAGGAGGAAGGAGGTGATGAGACACTTACAAGGCTCAGGGCTCTGTGATATACCACATTCTGTTCGATGTCTTCTTCCTGGAGGGAAAACTGGACTGAAGGCATGCAGAGGAAACGGTCCATGAGCTGGATGGCTTTGACAGAAGAAAAAAAGGTGCAAGAACTAAAATTATCTAAAGTAACCAAGTTAAGAAATCTTTTAAAAATAAAGAACCATCAGATTTAAGGTCACTTTACCACTATACAAGAACTGAGCTCCACGCCTAACAGTTAATATCCTGTTCATTGAAGCCTCTGTGTATGAAGGACCAACTCTGCCATATTTAAAAATAAATACAGAAATAAATAAATGCTCAATAAATGTATAAGCATACAATTAATTGCCAACAAAAAAGTGAGACATAAATGTATATAACTCTTAATTAGCTTCTTTATTTATTTGCCTTTGTAATATTTACCTTATTTATTTTTCTGTCCTTTATAATCTTCAACTTTATTTTTTAATTACTTATATTTTTAAGTATTTATGTGCATGTTATAATATTTTTGTCTGTTTTATTCTTCCTTTGTATTTTTTTACCTTAGTTATTTCTTCGCCGCTGTTTATTTCTCTCTGCCCTTTTTACATTTCTCTCTGCCCTTTTTACATTTCTCTCTGCCCTTTTTACATTTCTCTCTGCCCTTTTTACATTTCTCTATGCATTTCTGTCTCATTATGCAAATGAGGAGGGGGTGTGTCCTAGAGAGTCAACTTCTGCTCATTGGTTGGCTTGGCGGTCCATCTTCTTAACTCACAGAGCTCAGAGTACTAAGTTAAATGTTCTCTTTTCTGTTGCTGTTGTTCAATAAAAGTACGTTTTAAGATAATTTGAGGCGAGAACATTATACTTTTAAGCATCACTATATGGCCCATTCACAGATTTAATGCGTAATTTAAAAGAAAATGTGACGAACTTGAGAGGACCGTGGCAACCAGCAAAGCTCCGAAGCTGACGGCAGCCAGGTCTAACCACAGCCCATCTGCAGCGGCCCTCTCTCGGCATAACCGTGTGTGAAGCGTGTTGGTTAGCATTTTACTACATCGGTCGAATCTACAGGAGGAGAGTCTGATGTCGAGTCTGAAGTCATTAGAACTTGAGTAGGGACTTTGCCAAATACAACAAAAAATCGCCATCATAGCCTGGCTATAGACCTGGCTGCCGTCAGCTTCGGAGCTCCGCTGGTTGCCACGGTCCTCTCAAGTTCGTCACATTTTCTTTTAAATTACGCATTAAATCTGTGAATGGGCCATATGGTGATGCTTAAAAGTATAAGGTTCTCGCCTCAAATGATCTTAAAACGTACTTTTATTGAACAACAGCAACAGAAAAGAGAACATTTAACTTAGTACTCTGAGCTCTGTGAGTTAAGGAGATGGACCGCCAAGCCAACCAATGAGCAGAAGTTGACTCTCTAGGACACACCCCCTCCTCATTTGCATAATGAGGCATAAATGCATAGAGAAATGTAAAAAGGGCAGAGAGAAATAAACAGCGGCGAAGAAATAACTAAGGTAAAAAAATACAAAGGAAGAATAAAACAGACAAAAATATTATAACATGCACATAAATAAATACTTAAAAATATAAGTAATTAAAAAATAAAGTTGAAGATTATAAAGGACAGAAAAATAAATAAGGTAAATATTACAAAGGCAAATAAATAAAGAAGCTAATTAAGAGTTATATACATTTATGTCTCACTTTTTTGTTGGCAATTAATTGTATGCTTATACATTTAATGAGCATTTATTTATTTCTGTATTTATTTTTAAATATGGCAGAGTTGGTCCTTCATATCTGTGCATCTTACCATTTTAACAAAAAGAGGGCCAATCCCAGCTGTGGACTGACAAATGGAGCAGGTAAAAAGAGGAAAACTCATTTTATATATCAGGTAATTGTTAGGTAAATATAATTTATTATTTTTTCTTTTCCCATACAGGACCTTTCAATATGCTAAGATGATGCTCCTTTAAAGTAATTATAAAAACAAAATTCTGTGTCAAAATCCCACACACACACACACACACATATATTTATTTTTTCAAATGAAAAGTTTTTTCAACAAAAAAATTTTTTTTAAATAATCTTATAGGTTCCTAAAAAACATAGTTATGAACCTGTCAATTAATAAAGTTCATTCTCCATGAAGCTGCATGTATTTTTTACCAGATCACTGTTTAAAGTCATGTCAGGTTTGCATGTTCAGAGTGATTGGTTTGAAGATAAAGAATCTATGAACAAAAAAATGACAACTGTAAATGTGTGTCTCCGTGAGAGACATCAGATTGACCTGTTGTAGGGCTGCTTGTAAAAACCTTATGGACAGGTTGTCCTTGGTAATTACAGTGGGGCAAAAAAGTATTTAGTCAGCCACCAATAGTGCAAGTTCTCCCACTCAAAAAGATGAGAGAGGCCGGTAATTTTCATCATAGATATACCTCAACTATGAGAGACAAAATGAGAGAAAAAAATCCAGAAAATCACATTGTCTGATTTTTAAAGAATTTATTTGCAAAATATGGTGGAAAATAAGTATTTGGTCAGTCACAAACAAGCAAGATTTCTGGCTCTCACAGACCTGTAACTTCTTCTGTAAGAGGCTTCTCTGTCCTCCACTCGTTACCGTCATTAATGGCACCTGTTTGAACCTGTTATCAGTATAAAAGACACCTGTCCACAACCTCAAAGAGTCACACTCTAAACTCCACCATGGCCAAAACTAGAGAGCTGTCAAAGGACACCCGAAACAAAATTATAGACCTGCACCAGGCTGGGAAGTCTGAATCTGCAATAGGTAAACAGCTTGGTGTGAAGAAATCAACTGTGGGATCAATTATTAGAAAATGGAAAACATACAAGACCACTGATAATCTTCCTCGATCTGGGGCTCCACGCAAGATCTCCCCCCGTGGGGTCAAAATGATCACAAGAACGGTGAGTAAAAATCCCAGAACTTTGCTTAATCCCCTCAGTAAGCTACTGACTGACAAAACAAAAGCAATTTGGTACAGAAGAAACAGTTCAAAGAATGTCACAAACTTTGTCATATATGAGGGTATCACTTTCTCTGTTTCCTTCAACAAGTCTTATTACATGCCACTTCTGTTTTTCTTGCTTTTCAGAGCTACACTATACAGGTGCTGGTCATAAAATTAGAATATCATGAAAAAGTAGATTGATTTCAGTAATTCCATTTAAAAAGTGAAACTTGTATATTATATTCATACATTACATACAAACTCATATATTTCAGATGTTTATTTTGTTTAATTTTGATGATTACAAATGACAACAAATGAAAATCTCAAATTCATCATATCAGAAAATTAGAATATTGTGAAAAGGTTCAAAATTGATGGCCCCTGGTGCCACACTCTAATCAGCTAATTAACTCAAACCACCTGCAAAAGCCTTTAAATGGTCTTTCAGTCTAGTTCTATAGGCTACACAATCATGGGGAAGACTGCTGACTTGACAGTTGTCCAAAAGACGACCATCGACACCTTGCACAAGGAGGGCAAGACACAAAAGGTCATCGCTAAAGAGGCTGGCTGTTCACAGAGCTCAGTGTCCAAGCACATTAATAGAGAGGCGAAGGGAAGGAAAAGATGTGGTCGAAAAAAGTGTACAAGCAAGAGAGATAACCGCACCCTGGAGAGGATTGTGAAACAAAACCCATTCAAAAATGTGGGGGAGATTCACAAAGAGTGGACTGCAGCGGGAGTGAGTGCTTCAAGAACCACCACACACAGACGTATGAAAGACATGGGTTTCTGCTGTCGCATTCCTTGTGTCAAGCCACTCTTGAACCACAGACAGCGTCAGAAGCGTCTTGCCTGGGCTAAAGAGAAACAGGACTGGACTGCTGGTGAGTGGTCCAAAGTCATGTTCTCTGATGAAAGTAAATTTTGCATTTCCTTTGGAAATCAAGGTCCCAGAGTCTGGAGGAAAAGAAGAGAGGCACTTCATCCACGTTGCTTGAAGTCCAGTGTAAAGTTTCCACAGTCAGTGATGGTTTGGGGTGCCATGTCATCTGCTGGTGTTGGTCCATTGTGTTTTCTGAGGTCCAGGGTCAACGCAGCCACATACCAGGAAGTTTTAGAGCACTTCATGCTTCCTGCAGCTGACCAACTTTTTGGAGATGCAGATTTCATTTTCCAACAGGACTTGGCACCTGCACACAGTGCCAAAGCTACCAGTACCTGGTTGAAGGACCATGGTATCCCTGTTCTTAATTGGCCAGCAAACTCTCCTGACCTTAACCCCATAGAAAATCTATGGGGTATTGTGAAGAAGAAGATGCAATACACCAGACCCAACAATTCAGAAGAGCTAAAAGCCACTATTAGAGCAACCTGGGCTATCATAACACCTGAGCAGTGCCACAGACTGATCGACTCCATGCCACGCCGCATTGCTGCAGTAATACAGGCCAAAGGAGGCCCAACTAAATACTGAGTGCTGTACATGCTCATACTTTTCATGTTCATACTTTTCAGTTGGCCAACATTTCTATAAATCCTTTGTTTTTATTGGTCTCCAGTAATATTCTAATTTTCTGATATGATGAATTTGAGATTTTCATTTGTTATAAACAAATAAACATCTGAAATATATGAGTTTGTATGTAATGTATGAATATAATATACAAGTTTCACTTTTTAAATGGAATTACTGAAATCAATCTACTTTTTCATGATATTCTAATTTTATGACCAGCACCTGTATGCTGCAACCACTAAAGACGCTAATTCCTCCTTTAAAAAGGAGGCTAAGACTTGTTGAAGGAAACAGAGAAAGTGATACCCTCATATATGACAAAGTTTGTGACTTTCTTTGAACTGTTTCTTCTGTACCAAATTGCTTTTGTTTTGTCAGTCAGTACTGAGGGGATTAAGCAAAGTTTTCCTACCGTAAAGCTTGTAAGGACTTTTTTTGTGTGAGCACATTGAGATGATATGTGTTATAAATTTGGCGCTATATAAATTAAATAGAAATTTATTTTCCTTACATTGTTACTGCAGACTATAAGTGTCTCCTACAGGTGAAAATGTCTAGATCCCCAACTGCAAGCACTGATAATGAAATAACTGAATTAACAATCCCTTATACTGCAACACCACTAGAGGGCCAATGCCGCACACAGAATATGTTCAAATGCTGTTAACAGCCTGGTGCCCTGTGTAATAGTTGCTGTTTTTCAACACCTACCCTCTGCATATCCTCCTTCTTGACATTCTTTGTCGGAGGTCATTTTCTGTTCCTCTTTATAACCGAGTCCAAACTACCCGATCCCTGCTTTAAGCTTCTTCCCCTGATAGTCCAATCTGAACTGGCCTCCTGGTTTAATCATTTCTCATCCAGTCTAGTCAGAATCTTACCGTTGTGTAGTTTCCCTCTCACCATTGCAGCCATCTGTCTCTCACAGATCACAAGCAATTTTCTCTACCATCTCCACCCTGCTTGTCCTCTCCTCTCCATCTTTTTTGTGCACTACAGGTACTTCAACTTTCGTTACCTTCAACTCTTTACAACTTCCTTGCAAGTGCTGCGATGACCTCTGCTAAGGGGTTAGATGATCTCTTAGTTCTGCATAATGAAAAAGGAAACACAAACACATATATGTATATACATACATACACACACATATATATAATTTTTTTGCTATTAGCTGGAATCTTTTTACTAATTACTGTAAAAAAAAAATGCTTTTCTACTACTTTGTCTATTGCTTACCTAGACGTTTTACTGCTACTCCATACATGAATGATGTTTGTGTACGTGTGACACATACTTGAGTAATCCCAAACAAAAGAGACTCGGGTTACAGCGAGCTGTGGGAAAGAAACCAGGCATACAACCTGCAAAATGACAAGTTTCATAGGCTGTGTGAAAGTACAGGTGCTGGTCATAAAATTAGAATATCATGAAAAAGTAGATTGATTTCAGTAATTCCATTTAAAAAGTGAAACTTGTATATTATATTCATACATTACATACAAACTCATATATTTCAGATGTTTATTTTGTTTAATTTTGATGATTACAAATGACAACAAATGAAAATCTCAAATTCATCATATCAGAAAATTAGAATATTACTGAAGACCAATAAAAACAAAGGATTTATAGAAATGTTGGCCAACTGAAAAGTATGAACATGAAAAGTATGAGCATGTACAGCACTCAGTATTTAGTTGGGCCTCCTTTGGCCTGTATTACTGCAGCAATGCGGCGTGGCATGGAGTCGATCAGTCTGTGGCACTGCTCAGGTGTTATGATAGCCCAGGTTGCTCTAATAGTGGCTTTTAGCTCTTCTGAATTGTTGGGTCTGGTGTATTGCATCTTCTTCTTCACAATACCCCATAGATTTTCTATGGGGTTAAGGTCAGGAGAGTTTGCTGGCCAATTAAGAACAGGGATACCATGGTCCTTCAACCAGGTACTGGTAGCTTTGGCACTGTGTGCAGGTGCCAAGTCCTGTTGGAAAATGAAATCTGCATCTCCAAAAAGTTGGTCAGCTGCAGGAAGCATGAAGTGCTCTAAAACTTCCTGGTATGTGGCTGCGTTGACCCTGGACCTCAGAAAACACAATGGACCAACACCAGCAGATGACATGGCACCCCAAACCATCACTGACTGTGGAAACTTTACACTGGACTTCAAGCAACGTGGATGAAGTGCCTCTCTTCTTTTCCTCCAGACTCTGGGACCTTGATTTCCAAAGGAAATGCAAAATTTACTTTCATCAGAGAACATGACTTTGGACCACTCACCAGCAGTCCAGTCCTGTTTCTCTTTAGCCCAGGCAAGACGCTTCTGACGCTGTCTGTGGTTCAAGAGTGGCTTGACACAAGGAATGCGACAGCAGAAACCCATGTCTTTCATACGTCTGTGTGTGGTGGTTCTTGAAGCACTCACTCCAGCTGCAGTCCACTCTTTGTGAATCTCCCCCACATTTTTGAATGGGTTTTGTTTCACAATCCTCTCCAGGGTGCGGTTATCTCTCTTGCTTGTACACTTTTTTCGACCACATCTTTTCCTTCCCTTCGCCTCTCTATTAATGTGCTTGGACACTGAGCTCTGTGAACAGCCAGCCTCTTTAGCGATGACCTTTTGTGTCTTGCCCTCCTTGTGCAAGGTGTCGATGGTCGTCTTTTGGACAACTGTCAAGTCAGCAGTCTTCCCCATGATTGTGTAGCCTATAGAACTAGACTGAAAGACCATTTAAAGGCTTTTGCAGGTGGTTTGAGTTAATTAGCTGATTAGAGTGTGGCACCAGGGGCCATCAATTTTGAACCTTTTCACAATATTCTAATTTTCTGATATGATGAATTTGAGATTTTCCTTTGTTGTCATTTGTAATCATCAAAATTAAACAAAATAAACATCTGAAATATATGAGTTTGTATGTAATGTATGAATATAATATACAAGTTTCACTTTTTAAATGGAATTACTGAAATCAATCAACTTTTTCATGATATTCTAATTTTATGACCAGCACCTGTATGCTGGTTTCTTTCACGAGCACAATGTTAGCAGTATAAACACTGAGTGTTAAGTATAACAGCTCTACACTGCTCAGTTCATGTTCACTTTCATTTTAAATAGGACTCACATTTATCTGTGACCTCGGGGAATTGACTCCATGTCGTTTTTTTTTTTTACCCCTGCACACCTCAGCTGTGTTTATGATTTGCTCTTGGAGACACTTTTAAACGGCTTTAGAAGATTGTTTTGGATGATCACTTTGATTCTGGTAGAACATTTGATCAATCGTCAGAATTTGTCTAATTGATTTAGGATGATTTTTCAGGAAATGACTCCTCTTTTATGCATAGTTAAAAAAATGTATAGACCCTTGTCCTAACAGTAACTTTCAACCAGCCCCACAGCATCATACCACGATCACCATGCTTCCCAGTTGGCACTGTACTTTTAGGTTTAGAAAGCTCCACTAACTCCTTCAAATGTCATTCTTAGCATCGTAACAAAACAGCTCAAACTTCGTTCAAATGGCTTCAAATGGCAACATTGTTGCTAATAATCTTCACTGATTACCGTTGATCTAATGGTGAGGATTTCAGCTTTCTTTGGATATTTGTAAATGGGTGACATGACTGAAGTTAGCATCTCTAAATGTGTTTCAGCTACTCCGTCCATCAATTCCAACACTATTAAATATTCTTATGCTAAATAATTAGGACAGGGATGTCCAACCCCAGTCCTGGAGAGCTACAAGCACACCTACATCAATGTTACCAGGCCTCTGTAGAACTGAATAATGTGCTGATAAGGGATTTTTAGCCATTTGAGTCGTGTGTTTAAGTATTGCATCCAAAAGTTTTAGGACTAGACTGGAGTTTAGCATCCCTGGAAAAGGTGATCAACTAAACTTGAGTTAAAACAAAGAAAAACAATACCTTATACTGAAAATCAGTTCTCACAAATTTTTATTTACTTTTTTTTTTTTTCTGATGCTATCTGAGCATGTTACTGGATGTCTGGATGTTTTCTTTTATTTTTAATTATTGCAATTATTATGAACAGTTTAAGGCCAATATCTTTTTTTCCTTCATGAAATGGATCAGAATATTTTTTTTCTTCTTACAGAAAAGAACCTAAGTAACTTTTATTTAAAGGTAACTTTTGTTTTACTTTTACTTAAGTAACATTTTGCAATGGTAACTTTACTGAGTATATTTGTTATCTAAGCTAATGTACTTTACTGGAGTTTTTTCTATCTTTTCACCTCTCCATCGCACCAGGCATTGTACAGGAGTGACATATCAATCATCTGGAGGGATAAGAGGGGTCCAGTGCCCCCTTCTAGCTCCACCCCAGTTTGATGCAGCATTAATCTGGTCTTAGTTGTTGCTTCAACAGAGTTGGTTTCATTTAAGAAAACAAAACACAATAATTGACCCACTGCAGGGTTTAGGTGCTTGTTTGGGTCAGTTTGATTAACATGAAGGATTTAACCTTTAATTACCTTCGTAAAACAAAAACGGAAAGGAATTCAATTCCTCAGTTCTCCAGGCGCCATCAACAAAACCCCAAAGCCTCCATCTGTTTTTTCTTCACCTTCAGCTAACTGAATCAAAGTGTTAAACTTTAATTTTTTTGTTTTCTGGCTATTTTATTAAAGGCCAGTTTACTACATAAACCTATGTAGGAAATAATCAGACTGAAGTCTTTCTGATTTATTAAATCTGGAATAAAGAGAAAAACGCTAACCAGGCCTCGGATCCAACACTGGACAGATGACACTGCTGCTCACTGGATGTTCAATGGTTTCTGTTTATGTATGTACAATTAAAATCACATTTTTAACAAAATATAAAATAAATAACTTTAACAATACTAAGGTAAATGCATTCTGAGTGACCAACCTGCTAAAAGACTTATACATTTCTCTTTTTTTATTTAATGGTCTGTCTCTGCCGCTACAGACACCACCAATCATTTTTTTCTCCCCATAATAATTTCCCATGAAGCACTGGGGTTACGCATACCGTCTCATACAATAGTTACTTTGTTTTTCTTTGTTTATTTTGTATATCAGCTTTTTCATCAAGTTTTTTTTTTTTTTTTGCACCTGGGATTTTTTCTCCCACCCCTCTTCCTGAAACTGACCAACCACAGATCAGCCCTGCGGCCTCCTGCAGCCAATCAGGAGCAGGCATCCAAGTGGGCATCAGACAGTGGCGTGGTCGAAGGTGAGAGGTTACAGAGGTCAGCAGCATCAGTGCCCAGGTAGGCTACCCTGGTGTATGTGTGTGTGTAAATATTGGAATAACTATACTTACAGGGACTGTGTTTCATTTTTATTTTGGTGACATTTTTAGCTAAGAGAGTTCAATCGTTTATTTAGTTAACTGACGCTTGATGATCTGATCAGTCACTGCATCATCTTGCAGACCTTACTGCTCTCAAAGATGGAAAGATCTTGGAACAAGTGCAGAAAAGCTAAGTGAATGAGCCATGAAGCAGAGAAATCACTGCTGGCTTTACCTGTCAGATATCTGTGCAGAAGGGATCACACTGCAGTGGGAAACGTGAAAAAAGAAAGTGACCAATAATAGAAATCATGCAAAATCATGCCACCATTTAATATACTCTATCATATCAGCCTCAGACCTCTACATTTTGCTCTGGGAGGTTATTCAGCTAATATGTGATTGCATTTTTAGGCATTTAAATACTGTCAAAATGTTCTCAGAGGTTTTCACAGCACTGCTGATGGCCACTTTGAGAGAAAACAACCCTTAGAAGTAAGGGCTTCTGCAGCTAATATATGAAACCCACTTATGACTCTCGTCCCTAATTTGGTTCAAAATACCTCTGGTCTTGCAGTGTTGGGTAATCAAGGTCCAGAAAGTAAAAATCTTTAACAGAGATGAGTTTGTACCATTTACATATCTAGCTCTACAACACAGACTTGGAGATAAACAACTGCTTATGTTAACAGGATCAAGGAAACACGCAGGGTTTTTACTTTCTGGACTGAAATTACGCATCTCTGCTCTTAATACACCGAGGATGAGCTCTACCCAAGGAATGCCTGTCGATGCTAATTCCACACATACTGAGACACGTGCTCTGAGCACTACACTAGCCATCTACTGTATATTATGCTCAGTTATGTATATTTTTGCCAAACTTCACACTAATTATCTACTATCATATCCAACAATCTGCACAATTTAGCATCTGTTCAAATAAATTACTCATAAGGCATTGTCTTCAATTTAGAATATTTGAAAGATCTGCTTGAGAACTAACAGAACATAAGAGCAAATTAGCTTTTTTCTACAATGCTAAAAATAAAGCACACATTTTTTTCCACCCCATTTCTTTCTAATTGCTGTCCTGTTGCTTCGGTCAGCATTATTTTCAGGGAGGAGAAAAAATGAAAAGATAAACTTGGTTCAATTTGAATGATTAGTAGACAAGAGCCCAGCTTAGTAACAGTGCTGCAGTTAGCATCCAATCTGGCACTTCTAATCCCTGCTAAAGCAAAGGAATATTATATTGTTGGACTTCATTTGCATCAGTCTAGAATATAACAATGCTCTAACTTCTGGGAGTAAGATAAAAAAAAAACGAAAAAAAGAAAAAAAAAAAACACACAGCTATTTTAGAAACAAGCAATGTTATTTCAACACTAATGCTGGGATTAGAAAAAATCCCAGAGTCCTGCTAGGAAACTTTGGTCAAATCTGAGCTAACTTATTCTATGCCAGCATTTCTCCCAGTCTTTTCAGGAACTAAACACGTCTGTTCCTGTAAATAGCTGGTTTGGTCTTGTGGGGAAGTTGAGTCAACTGGTCATCTGGTGCCTAAACATCCATTTTAACTTGAATAAACTCACAGCTGAAGTAGGAAAACCTGAGACTGACTGCAGCTGTGAGGGAAATAGAAACCAGGAAGAAAAGTTCGATAAGTTATATTGTTTCAGCACAGGCTTTTTTTTCTTCACTTTGTAATTTTTTTTTACTTAAACCCTGCTGATAATTATTCCCTAGACAACATTATGACTGATTAGTGAACAACCCCTGTAAGTAGAGTGATTCTAATATTGTCAGTGTGTGCCTGTTGTTTGGATTCCAGTGTTTTATTGCGGTGATGTCTGTCTGTATGTTGGGTGGAGATCAGTACAGTCTCAGAGGAACATTCCTCTGCTTGCAAAATATAATAATATCCAGAAAAGGGACTCGGTAGGAGAAAAACAAAAAAAAACCCAAAACAAATAAAAATATAATAAAATTGTTCCTTATAGAGTTTTCTCTTAAAAAATAGACTTGACGTCTTTTTGTAAATCAGTAGTTGGAAGGAATGTCAGCCTTCCTTCATCTGTTTGTTAATGACAGGAGGGAAACAATTGATCCAGAACGTAAATAAGTGTTTTTTAGCGGGAGATGGAGGGAGCACCCTTGGTTTTTCCAGTTGAACAGAGGAAAAACGGCAGAAATAAGGGGAATGATAAACATCCGACTTCTTTCACCTTTCCATTGTTCCTCGGGAAGAGGCCCCCGCTGGAGGGAAAAATAGGGCTGAAAGTCTGGGGAGTCCACCTCTGATTGGCTTTTTAAGGTGACTGGAGTGTAACAAAAAAGGCAGGGTGATGTCAGTAAAAACCCACTGAAAGTTCATGGCACAGATGAAGGTTTTTCCTCTTGAAATGCATCAGACTCTCACAAAGTAGTCAAGTACATCTCCACATAACAGTAGATCCTTACTGATAAATACTTAAATATCCAGGAATGCTTCCTTTTCCGGTTATTTTCTGCTGAGGTGAGAAAGGTGGAGGATAGATAAATAAAAAAAAAACGAGGAAGAGGTGAAAACTAAATCTTGACCTGTAAACACGAGTAAAAACTCATTTTACTGCATTTTGAAAAAATTAAATCTTGATCATTTAAGTGCATCTATGGTCATATATGTTGGGTGATTCTAACTTTCTCCACTTCTGTTTGCAGAACATTTATTCTATTCTAGTCATTGTCAAGGGTCTTTTGGCATGGAGAAAGATAGAAAAAGGTAAGGAAAAAAAGAAAAGGGAAATATATTTAACTGATAGTTTAAAAGAGGGTAAAAATGTGGCAGTAATAAAACTGAAATGGAAGAGGAGTGTCGGACAGAGGAGGGGAAATGCTCCGGTACGTCCTGTCCGAGGAATACGAGGCAGCATGGAGGTCGGCGGGGACTAGGATTCTGAGGAGGTGCGGGACCCGCCCTGAACCAGGGTTTTGTAGATATTGGAGGAGAGGAATCGTGGGTAGGAGTCCCTGTGCATCAGCGTGTAGATTTGCAGCTGAGCGTCTTCAAAAGTGTGAGGTGTGGGGTCCTGCATCTTCCTGTTTATCACCTCTCGAACCCGGGCATCCAGACTGACCTGGATAGAAAGAAGTTTAATTTAGCGAAGATAGAAGAAATCATGTTAAATTATTTAATTTATCATTGAACGGTCGTATAAAAGAAACATTTGTTCTAAATCCTTTATTTAAAATAATCAGGGAGAATCTTTATTCAAATTGCAATTTTCTGATCAGGTCATGAGTGATGCCACTACCTGCATGTGTTTAATACCTACTGTCTGGTTTTCAGCTTACATGTCAGAAAGAAACAAGCTTTATAATGCTAGAAACACAGAAATAATGTTTTATTTTTGTTTGAATACAAACAATACAGCTGGATAACTTGGGTTTTGATTTTTTGATTTTAGGAACAGATGCTTTGTCAATTGGTTTGAATAAAAGAAGAACATATTTAGGAAAATTATCAGAAAGAGTTATAAAGAAAAGAAGAAAGGCTGCCTGTCTCTTTGTTTTTCTATCTACTTATCTATTATTTGGAGCGGGGCTATGTCAAATATTTTCTAGCAGTGAGTATACTACTACCCACAGCATTATTATGAAAGTACAGGGATGTGAGTAACAAGTTTACATTTATTCTTATTCCCTTTTGGATATGCAATGTTGTGATATAACAACATAGAATATATATACAGTTGTGCTTGAAAGCTTACATACCTTTCCCCTAAAGAAAATGGTAAAGTCAAACTATTAATTCAAATAACACAAAACTGAAATAAATAATTATACTTAAAAAAAAACCTTAATGATAATTAAGTGAAATGAAATGTTGATTTTGAAGTTTTATTAAAAAAATCTACATTCTTAAATTAATACATCTAAATCAGAGCCTATTTAACAATCGATTTCTTCTTTATAGAAAAACTAAGCCTTTAGTTAAAAGATCTAAAAAAGTATTTAATTGATTTTGTTCCATTATTGTTGCAAGCAAAGAAGGCAGATAGAAATTATACTTTACAAAATGTCTAAAACAAAATAGTTTTTGAGAGTAACTTTACTGTTTTCTCAGATTTTTTAAATTCTTTTATATTTTGTTTTCAAACTTTTTTCAATTTTTAAAATTATTTTTGTAGTTTCAAATAGCATTTGTTTTCCCAACTGCGTCTCACGGATAACATTCTTCTCACTTACAGCCAGATAGAATAAAAAACGCTGCTAATGTCCAAGCAGACCAATAGAAACGTATCTTTGCTGCTCACTTCAGAGGAAAGCACGGAAAATCTGCATAATATTAAAGTATGCATTTTGTAAAACTCAATCTGAAAAAGAAATATTTGAAAGAAAAAAAAATTAAAAGCTAAAATTAGAAAAACTAAACTATGAAAAAAAATTTTTGGTTCTGTAATTTACAAAACAATGAATGAATGAATGTAAGAAATTAATTTCACACAAAAAAAAAAAAACATACAAAAAAAAAATAACATTCTTAAGTCTAAATAAATAAATTAATAGAAGAGCGTTAGTTGTTTCAACTTTGGGACAACATGGATAAATAATGAATAAATGGAACATATCAAGAATAAGTATCAACAGTTAGAGAACGGATGGATACTGCATCTATGCTTGGGTTCCAAGCCAAGAACTGCAATTTAAAAAGAAAAATTCCCTTTTGCCAAAAATCACTTAATGGTCTTTTAGAAAAATATTCTGAGAACTAATGACCCGAAAGTTTAACTTTCCAGAAGGGAACGTAACAGTTAATATCAAACTAAAAGGCCATTTAAAAGGAACATCCCACCCAGAGTCAAACATGGTGGTGGCAGTGTGATGGTCAGGGACTGCCATTGCTGCTTCAGGACTTGAAGATTTTACAATAATACATAAACATTTTTGGCTACCTAGTAAAAAAATTAATCAATCAGTATTTGACCTTGAGCTCAACCAAACTCAGATCGATGATCTCAGTTTATCAGCTGATCCACCTCTGAATGGGTCATTAATAGAAATGAATGAGTATGGAACGGCCTAAATTCCAGACTCAGTCCATCTGGGATCCTGTTCCATGACCCCAAACAGTCCATTTATGCATAAAAACTCTCTAGTTGGTCCAATTTAAAGCAATTTTACAGAAAATTGGGCCAAATTCCCCACAGAATGAATGAAAAGCCACATTGCCAGTTTTAAAATGACTGCCGTTTTTCGCAGCCAAGTGTTGCTCAACCAGCCATCAGCTTTAGGGTCAATTATGTTATCACAAAGGGCTACATTGGTTAAGAAAGCATTCCCTTAATAAATGATATCTTTATGTAAAATATTTGGATTTACTCAGGTTATCACTGTCTATGGTCTATCACTGTTTATGAGTTAAAACAAAAAAGAATCTTGGAGGAAGCAAATCGGTTTTCACATCACCGTACATGAATCCGTTTTTATCCAACAACAGCTGACCCTATAGGTTTACGTCTGACATTTTGTACTCACTCAGATGTTTTATTAATCAGCTCTCATAGAGGGAAAAGTACACAGAGAAGCCCTGTAAAACACACAAACACACACACAGAAGCCCTGCAGGCACCAGCAGATATTTATAGAAAGACAAGCTTTCTCTTATGCTTCCCCTCTGCTCTTATTTAGGGAAGACTCTGTGTCCCTCTAACTCACACAAACCCAAACACACATGCACACACACACAAACCCACAAATAGAAGAGAGATAGGCATCGTACCAAGGTCAGATGTGCAGACAGACAGCCTGGCCTGCCTCCTCCGTGCCAAACTCGCATGGCTGGATATCTCTCTATGTTTTAGTGCGTGTTGGTATGTGTGTGCGTCTATAAAAAAAGTCTTTAGTGCCAGAAGGTGATGGGGAGCAATTTATAGCCTCCTGTAAACACACTGTACAAACACACGCGGTGGCGTACATGTATACACTAACATGTCAACACATTCTGATGAGCTAGTGATGGAACCTGACAAGAGAAGCCGGAGGCTCCCAACACGCATACGAACACACAGACAAATCAGTGTAGTAAAGAAGGCTAGCCTCCTCCCACTCCTCACATGGAAGGCACATCTCTTCCTCTAACACCCGATAATCATTGGGTCAATCAGGACTGGGCGATCACTGAGCATGCTCAGAACAGCGGCACATCAAAGCCACCGATTGTGAAGCATCCGACTAAGGAGTTCTTCTCAGTGCTGCGGTTCGACAACATCGGTCAGAACAAGCAGTAGTGAAACTAAATAGTTGTTTTTAGGTTTCCAGAAGCAAACTTTACCTCTTTTGGCGATAATATAGAAATATAGTCTTCGTAGATGGACCGAGCTTTTTCCTCAATGGCACTCTTATTGATTTCTTGTTTGAGGTCTTCACAGGCCAGCCAGAACAACATGTTCTCCTCGCTGTACTCTGTTCGTAGGAACTCCCGGAAAACATTTCGACCTGCTGGGTTCCTCATCAGCTTGTCAAACGACTGAGACCACATCCGGATCTCCTCCACCGAGGGTTTGGGGCTGTGGGACAGAGAGCGGGACATCTCATGTTTGTTTTGGTTTTAATTGATTTAAAAGAAAAAAAAAATACTTTTACATCAACAGGGAGTCCTTGTAGAATATTAGTTCATGGAACTAAGGGTCTAAAGAAACTGATATTTACATTTGTCAAATATGGGTTTTGATGGCTGCTCTGCAATCTAATGGAGATGATCAACAGCAACAGGTCAAAATGTACAGTTATTATATTAATTATATATATATACTAAACTTTTCAGCTCGATACCGTTACCAAGTAAAATATTCGATACTCGATGTCATTTTCGATACCACAAGGATAAAAAAAAAATACAATAAATAGATAAATAAATACAATAAACAATATTTTGAGGTTGTATGCTGCACACAAAATTAAGTAAGCTTGATAAAAAACTTGCAGAATTAAAATAAAGTGTTCCTTACCTGGCTATGCTTTGCACACATAACAATGACACAAACCAAACCAGTTAAAAAACAAAAATAATTCTCAGCAGCTGCACCTGTTACAGAAAAATGTCTGAAACCGAAAAGTGCACATAATTATTCAATCACACAGTGTTCAGAAAGTGCATTTTCCTCAAATCCGCGCATAAGATGAATGACTGCTTAGGTGCCACTGGTGGTAGCACTGTATCAATACTTTTGAAAATGAGTATTGTATCCGGATACAACTTTTCAGTATTGATACTTTTTTGAGTATCGATACTTTTGACAACCCTAATATATATATATAAAAAATTATATATAATTTATTATTATATTTACATCAAACACTGCATGACAATACAGACCTCGCCAACAGTTTAAGTTATTTTCTTGTATTTGCAAAAATTGAGCTTTTACTGACATCTGAACAAATGACAACAAAGTAAAGATTGCCTGCAGAAAATGGAAATTATTGATCAACTTACTGAAATTTGCAGCTGTTTGGAGAAAAGTGAAATGGCTTGATAAAGTACTGACTGTTCTTCTGGACCACAGTGACATTGCTGCCAGATGGCTAATTGCGCAATGTGGATAGGATAACTGAGAGGAATAATTAGAAACAGGTTTGGGAGAAACGTGGAGCAGACAATGCTCAAAAGTAGTGTCAGAAACATGAAACCAACTAACAAAAAAAAAAAAAGAAAAAAATTTACCATTTCTCTCTAGAAGAGTGGTCAAATATTGCGACAGAATTATGCCAGGGATTTGTTGATGTTTGCATAAACTGTGTGCTCGCATTGAATGATGCCAAGACACATATCAGCTGGTCTGTATGCATGGAGGAGACCGCTTGCAGTGGAAAAGTAAAAAAAAAAAATTACAGCTTATGAGCCCAAATCTTGAATTTAAGAATGACTTATGTTGAAATGCTGTATAACCATTAAAACACAAAAACTAAAGAAATTAAGCCAAAATATTTCTTATGCCTATGATAAGATTAGTTCAATTCAGAAATAAAATTTACATCAAAAGAAGATGAAAAATGTTGAGTTAAAAAAGGGCAAAAAATAAATAAAGATAATCTGAACTTTCTTAATATTTTATGATTAAATAAACTTGGTCAGAGCTGAAATAATTAATGGAATTAATAACAATTAATTGATTACTCAAATTACATATAATTTACTTAAAAAAAACCCTCAGAGCAGTAAACAAACCAAATCTTTACTAAATAAGTGTATATTTTGCATAGGAGAAGAAAAAACCTTCTTTCTCAGGAAATATGTTCTATCCAGAACTCTTCAAATTTAACTTATACTGTTTCAGATTCAGTGAAAACCTCCCAGAGCGCAGCTTTTACTTTCTAATTTATGGAAAAATAATCAACAAATGAACAATATGGGAAAATCAATGTCAGTTGCAGCCAAGAATGGACCTCTTTTTTTTTTTTTTTTTTTTTTTTTTTTTTTTTAAGGAAACCATGTCAGGACCAGAAGAGGCCCAGACATTGCATATGGGCAGCATTTAATCTAAATCCATGATGCGATTGTGACCTATTAAAAATGTAAAAATGGTAAACTACACTATGGCTTAAAAAAGCTGGAGACTGGTTCAAATTATTCAGAATGACTGGTTTCTACATTTGAAAGCATAACCTTTTCCTTTAGTGCAGCAAAACACCAACTAACTAAAACAAAACAAAACAAAAAGCTATGTTTTGGTTCATAAATGTTGTGAAAACATTTTTGAAAGAACCTTCTGGACTTTGCATTTTTAATGATCAGATATTTAAACTTTAACAATATATTAAAGCAAGTATTCATTCAACGCATTTTGTCTGTTTTATTGCTCTTCTATTAATACATTTTCGGGCAGTATGTCCTTGTACTTTCATTAACTCTAATTGAAACTGCTCTAAATCTATGTTTTGGCCACAGAGGCAAAAATAGATTCAAGAAGAGACAATTTGCAGCGTTTAACAGCCGTCATTCTAGCTAAGCAAAATCTACACTAACATCTATGGGAATCCTTGTCAGCATCAACATCTGAAGTCCCCATTGAAAGCAGTAATAAAGGAAGTTGCGTGTTGGCAACAGTTGCAAGGCTGCAGAAACTCGGATTGTTCAACTTCTTCTAAAGTTTTAAAGTTCTGTATTTTTTTTTTTTTATTATTTCCAAACAGCATAAAAAAAACCCCGCTTAAATGTTTACAATGCAAAGAAGAAAACGGTACTGTGACTCCAACCAAATCTGTATTTAGAAGAAATGCACTCTTACCAAGTTTCAAGTTTGGTTTCCATCTTGGTGTCCTGCGATATTCTCTTCCTCCTTCTCCTTTTCCGTCTCTCCTCTTCATTCCTGACAGTGAGACTGACATGATAAAAACGGCTTTCAGGCAGGAAACACACACACACACACACACGCACCCACACACCACACCCCACCCAAAAAAAAAAAACACTCAACCACAGCTTACAAGGTAATAATTGCTTTTAGAACTACAAACACATGCACACTTACACACAATGAAGTTATTATCCCATTTAATGACAACATAAGCCACAGATATGTTAACAGCAGCTGAAAGCAGTAGTTACAAGTGTCTGTACTTCCATTCTGTGTGTCTGTGTGTAATTGAGAGCAAGCTACAAATAAATAATTGGAATACCTTTGGGAACTACTAAGATATAACTGCATGGGTTTTGACTGCTGTGAATCTTATTTTTACTGACTTTTTATGATTAAACAGGTGTGGTTTTAAAATATGCTGTATAGTGACTCTACTGCAGAAGCTTAAATGAGAGAATGACAGGAAACCTCTACAATATAGCTTAAAACATGTCTGTCTGTAAAGATTACAATGGAGAAAATTGTCTTTGAACTAGAAACCGAAACTTGTTGGACATTGGTTTTTGATTTGCTTCTAAAAACTACTTCTCAGCAGGATTTATATATACTGCTGAAAGCCAGAATGACAAACTGACAAACTTGAGCCTCTTTCACAAAACGAAAAGAAAAAAAAAGAAAAACCCAATGGTAAACAAAAACTCCTTCCAGCTGCAGCTTTTTACACGCTTTTACAGGCCGCTCAGTCTGTTACGGATTTGATTTTAACACAACAAATATAAAATTAAACAGCAAAAAATAAATAAAAAGGAACATTCCCTGCTCCAGTGAAGCTGTGCACTTTGCTTAAAGAAATTTAAAATCTCAGCCCCAGTTTTCAGTCTGACCTATTTTAGGCATTCAGATAAACAAACGACTAACGATCAAAAACCTAAAATGTCTCATAGTCAGAACAACTGGAAAAGAGGAAACGATTCCTGTTGGATGAAACATATTTATTTTTGACAAGAAAATAAGCAGGTTTTAGCAGAAAGCGCAGGTGGTTAACAATATTACAAGTGGTACAGAAAACGCACTCTGAAGGTGTCCTCGTCTTTGACCGCAAAGTCATCTGCACAACCACTGTCATTTGTTGGGCTTAAGAATCGGTTGGAAATGTACATATCACCCAACCTTAGTCATCTAAAACTACTTCCTCTGCATATTGCATTAATTTAACTAGGTTCTACGGAAGGAACTTGCGCAAACCTGTGAAAAGCCTCTTTAATGGATGCAGATAAATTTAGATTATTTAAGCTTGCCTTAGATATTCTGTTTGACAAAAAAAGCGCAAACCAACAACTAGAGCCTCTTTCAGATAACGTCTTGATTACAGATAATCTGCAGCTTCTGCAAACCACAGCGTGCAGCTTTTTTAGTGAACCTAACTTCCTTTCAGTAAGTTTCTGATGGTGGTAGAGTTAAGAGGCTCAGGAAGCAGCCTCTTTTTGTGGACAACCATCAGACATTTTGCAATCCAACAAAGCCACAACTGACACTAAAACCTATAATGGTTGGGGCATCCTTCGGTGGCGCTAGGGCTGGGTCGATATAGAAAAAAAGCTTATCGATAAAAAAAAATGCATATTGATCGATATCGATAATTATAGAAAAGATTTGAAACCATATTTTATGTGCAGCTCTGCCTGGACTTTTTATAATATTGCTAAATGATTTAATTTTAATAAAAAACACAAACACAGACTTGGAATTAAATCTTTATTTAACCAACTTTTTTAACCATAACAGAATTGTTTTAAAGAAAAATAACTTAAGAGACCTGGGTTATGTTATTAAATACTGACAAAGAATAAACTAAAGTGACCAGAAAAGTGACCAAAATAAATATAACAAATAAATAAATGCCGCCCCACCGCCGCCGCCGCCTCCGTTTCCTGCTTTAACCTGAGTTATTACTTTGAAGTTGCTGGCCCCTCAGCATTTTTCTCTCAATTGTTAGAACTACGTGGGAAAATGCCCAGAACTGAAAATATGTATATATTTTCCCGAAATTCCCGAAGATTCCTCGGAGGAGAGCCGCGCCGAGGCCTACACAGCTCGTACTCCTGCGGGTGTGAGCGGCTGAGATGATAAAAAAAAAAAAAAAGTTGGTTGTGTTATCAGACTTCATTTTCACTGGTTCCCGACACATTTTACAGATGATTGTGGTTTGTTTTTGGTCCGACTTGCCATGACCGAAATACTGCCAGACTGCCGAACTACAAAAACCCTTCTTTGAAACAATTTCCTCCGCCTCTCCTTGCTGCGACATCTTCATGTGCTCTGTGTTGTGGTTTGAGAGGGCGGGGCTTGGTGACGGCGTGCCTGGGTCCGCGATTGTGATTGGTTGGGAGGAAGTAGCGACTAGCATAAACCTACATGCTAGGCTACAATGAGAAGGAAGGAAAACTGCGTTTCTTTTTTATCGAACTTTTATCGACCCTCTTTTTTTCTATTGCGCCACACGTCTATCAATCGATATATATCGTTATTGAATTATCTCCCAGCCCTAGACCCATGTATGGCGGCCTTAGTCCTCGACGCGGATGACCTGGGTTTGAATCTGACATGTGGCCATATGTCATTTGCTGCATGTCATGCGCCAACCTCTCTCTTTGCAGCAGACATGTATGTCTCAAAGGACCCCTGGTCCTTTGCCGCATGTCTCTTATACCCCCTTTTCTGTCAGCCTACCGTTCATAAAAATGAGCCACTAGTGCCGTAAAAAAAAAAAAAAAACCTTTAATGGATTCCTCTCAATGTTTACAGGGCATGTCTGACTGGGGGAAGAGTCCAACACGGACCCAGAACGGGAGTCTAAGCCTCCCTTTTGGGCAAGAAACACCTTAGAATCAGCTGGACTTTGTCATTGGGGGAAGAGACGTTGGGATTTTCATTCCGGATCTTCTACCCCTGTGACTTGATCTTGGTTGGATATAATTCATTAAAGTCACAGTTCAGTTTCACACAAAGCAGCTTTGGCCTAAGAGTTTTAGTCAGTGTGGTAGACTCAGGTTTTATTTAAAGACATGTAAATAAACTCTGACTTTATTGTTTCGTAAAATTAACGTTTTCCTTCACACTTTGTAAGACTTTCAGATTTCAAGAACGGGACATTATTGTCATGCTTCTCATACTGTTATAAATCTGCATGCTAGTAAATGTAGTTCTTAGATAATTAAAAATGGTCTAGAAAACTGCAGCCAGCGCACCTCTTCAATAGGGGTGTAAATAATAATCGTTTTGTATTGATGCATCGATCCAACAGCCGACGATCCGATGCATCGACATGTCCACAAGAGTATCAATTGAGTTTTTCTTTTTTTCCTCTCCAGTCTAGTTTTATCCTTTTGCCCCTGGGCGTAATTCTGACTCCCGTGGTGCGGTGGCGCTAAACCTATTTTGTCCTCCTACCTCGCTTCATTTAGCCACTACCTCTTTCCGCTTGCAGACACACACTCTTGTAAACACAGAGGCATTATTATTTCACAGTGAATGAGGTTTTCATAGGCCTAGGTGGAGCACAACTTTGCAACTTCTGTTATGTGCTGTTGTTTCTCAAATAAAACGATATTACAGCTTTAATTGATTTATTGTTGGGTCAGGAAATTGATACTAAATGGAATCGCTGTGATGGGTGTGATTTACACCCCTACTCTTCAAATAAAAGTAAGTTTATGAAGTCTCTGTTCTGCACTTGCAGCAATAAAGGGCATTATAATAATAAAATAATCCACGAATAATACTCTTGAGTAAGTCTAAAATTTTGACAGGGAGGTTTCTAAAGAGGCTAATTAACAACTTCTTCCACTGGAATATCAGCTGCACGTGCAGATTCTTGATCCTGCTGACAAACACAGCTACAGTTACAGATACACTGCTGACAGGAATATTTGAGCTGTTCTTATTCATGACTGGAAGAGCTGTTGTATCTCTCTCCTACCTCGCTATTTTATTGGTTTGTAGTTGTGTGCTTGTAGTTGTGTGCTTGTTTCTTACCATGAACAGCTGCAACAGCAGCACCAGCAAAAGCAGCAGGCGTTGGGTCGCTGGGAATTCTGGGTAGTGGTCAAGCCCCGGGCCTCTCCTGCCCCGCTCAGAGCCGAGGTCTCGCTGCGACCTCCCCCCATGGCCAGCTCACCCGCCCGCTCAGCTGGGATCGGACCTGTGTACTGCACAGACGGAGATCCACTGTGGTTTTCATTTCTATTACAGTCACAGAGCTTATTCATCTTATGTGTTTGTGGCTGAAAATACAAGTTAGTTTACATTCTGAAAACTCCTCATGCAGAGAAGGAAACTCATAAAAACAATTTGACAAAGAGCAAACCAGCTAGTTAAAGACTAATACCTTAAAAGTGAAAAATCCTTACAATCTTTATGCATTTCTTTATTAAATTAAAGCGTCTGAACTGGTTTTGCACGTTATTTATTGCACACACAGTCTTTGCAGATCACCTGCAACATGCCCACTATTTGCATGTGCTAGTTTTTACGGAGTGCAGAAGCACTTTAGTGCTCCTTATTTGGAATCTTTGAAGATCAAAAACGTGTTTCATGGAAGGCTGTTGATCTTTTGCAATCTGCAGTGGAACATTAGTGACCTGATGCTACTTGTCGTTTCCACAAATGGCCATGATCTTCAGTGATCACTGGAGCAGTTCTCAGTAAAGTGCATGTCAGGATGAAGAGTCAGCGCTTCTGTGTTTGAGGCCACAGTTGTCAAACTGACAAAGGGGGAATGCTAGGAGTACAGCACTAGGAGTCAGCTGAAGGAGTTCTGGCATGTGATAAGACTGCCCCATGGATGACTCCCTGTGGAGGTTTTCCAGAAATATCGCACTGGGAGCAGGACCTGGGACAGACCCAGAACTTGCTGAAGGGTATATATTTCTTTTCTGCCCTGAGGAAACCTTGGGAACCTTCATAACAAACCTGAATGTTGCATGAGATTAGAAACTTTTGATGAAAATAATTCACGCCTGTACAGTTTTTTTTCTACATTGGTTTTCTTTCTTAATAACCTTAAACAAAATAAGCTCATTTTTAATTACACATATTTTATTAAGGAAAATACCCTAACCCTAATAAATTGCTTTGCCACTATTAGTAACAAAACTTTTCATCATGTGTTTTTGTTTCTTTTGATGAATTTCTTTAGAAAAGTAATGAAACACAGTATATTGGGTCACACCACCAGAGCAATGATTTTGGCTGTTCCAATGTACGGGACTCCTGACCTCATCCTTATAGAACGCCTTTGACATGAACTCAAGTGGTGGCCGACTCTGGTTTTCTCATCCAACTATAAATTCTAACCCTAACCCAACCTTATCCCTTTCTCACACAGACCCAGTAACCTATGGCTGTCTGATTATAAATTGTTCACTGATCCGAAAAACTGAAGCAATATAAGAGAACTTCTACACATTGCTGCACGTTTCTGAGTGGATTTCTCTGGATGGATGAAAAGTAAAAAGACACAAATTAAAATATAAGTTCCTGCTGTCATATCAAATCATTAACAGCTTCTTTGAAGTGCTATGGTGAGAGAAACCCCTGGTGCGCCCCACACTCACATCTAGTACAAACTATTTTAAAGGTATAGTGGAGGATTTTTAAAAAGACCCGCCATCTCCACTTTAAAAATAAAAAATCACACAACCCTGTACCCGCTCCTGAGAGGGAACACCTATTAAACGCGTGCGAGAACATGTATGGCCCATTTCTCCTCGTGCACGCTCTGCTTAAAAGTTGCTGCATTGCATCGCTCATACAAGCTTACTTTCCAAAAGATAAAAAAACTTTCCACCATGTCAGACTCGCCACCAGTAAGTGAAGATGGGGACAAACACGTAGGATGGCCTTACGTAAACATATCACAAGAATTATTGACAATTAGGAGGACCACTTATTTTGATGATCCACCCAGAAAAAGACCATCCTCCACTATACCTTTAAGATTTACACATAACTTTGTTTTTTGTTGTTGTTAGCTATTCATCTTTGGAGCTTAATAAACGATATGATCAAATCTGGCTCTTCTTTAGTCTTCTGACTTCCTGAAAAATTTGTAAACCATAAAAATGTATGTCATTGTGCCTTTATTTGGCTAAATTGTTATTATTTAATTATACATTTGCTTTTTTTGGGCTCCTCAGTGGCTCATCGGGTAGCACTGCTGCCTTGCAGCAAGAAGGTTGCGGGTTTGATGCCTGGCCCGGGGTCTTTCTGCATGGAGTTTGCATGTTTAACCTTAGCATTCGTAGGTTTTCTCCTGGTACTCTGGCTTCTTCTCACAGTCCACAAACATGACTGTTAGGTTAATCGGCTTCTCTAAATTCTCCTTAGGTGTGAGTGTGTGAGTGAATGGTTGTTTGTCCTGTTTGTCTCTGTGTTGCCCTGTGATGGACTGGTGACCTGTCCAGGGTGGATGCCGCCTCTCGCCCATTGACAGCTGGAGATACGCACCAGCACCCCTCGTGACCACACTTGGGATTAAGCGTGTCAGAAGATGGAGGAACATTTATTTATACAGGCAAGTCATTAAGAAAAAGTTCTTATTTACAATGGCCGCCTGACAAGTGGAGTAACCACTTAGGAAAAGGGAAGTAAGGCTAAAATAAATACAATACATTACTAATACATATATAAAATACAAAAAAAAAAAGACAACCCAAAAATGATCATGTAAAGAAGCAGCTGCACGTGTCTGTGAACAAGGATGATGTAATTGTTTTGAAGGATGAAATTGAAATTAGTATATCCAGTTTAGGAATATTTTGCAGAGCGTTCCAGTCACGAGCAGCAGCAGATTGAAAAGAAGCAAGACCAAAAGTAGTGTAGTAATTTTAGATGAAGAGACGACCGGGTGTTGTAAGTGACAGGCTTTGGCTGCAGCAGGTGACCTAAATAAGGTGGTGAGCGGCCGGTCTTGTAAATGAAGATGAACCAGTGAATTTTGCGTCGATTGTGAAAGGAGGGCCAGTTGATAGATGAATACAGAGTGCAGTGGTGTGTATTAAAAGGAGCCTTTAAAGCAAACCTGATGGCGGAATGATAAAGACGGTCAAGTTTTGATAGATTGGACTCACAAACAACCCTATATATAATGTCTCCATAGTCTAAAAGGGGTAGAATGGTCATTTGGATAAGAGTAAGTTTCGCAGAAGCTGGGAAGGAAGAGCAGTTTCTGTAAAGGAAACCAAGCTTAGCCTTGACTTTAAAACAATCTTCTGTCTTCAGCATAAGGTAAGGTTAGCTAATGTCCTAACAAAACTTCAACAGTAGCACCTAAAGTTGCTCTACACTCGAATTAAAGAGTTGAATAACCTACTAAGCATTCAGTCAGTCCTGTAAATGAGTAATTGTTTGTTTATCCAGGTGTGCTAAGGCTGTTAAATAAATAACCTGAGATCAGAAGTCAACCAGTGTGAACTTTTTCTTGAAATTGGAGAAAAAGTATGGAGTGCAAGAAAAATGTCCACAGAATGATTATAAAAAAGCTATGCTAAATATATTTAGAATAGGAAGTAAACATACTTGAAAAATAAACATAAACAGCAGAAGAAATGGACAGCGACCTGTAAAATGAAGAGTGAAGAATTCAACTAAATGACTAATAACCAAAAGACGATTGAAATACCGGTAATATCATTTATAGTTTAACCACAACTAATTTACATTTCATTTTTCTATTTTCAAACATGGGAGAAATGAAAGGAAGATATATTTTGATCTAAGACAGGTGCAACTCGGGGGTAGTGTCTAAAGAGGGAGGGTAACACAGAGAGATGATAGAGGAGATAAGATGTAGGAAAGAAGAAATGGGTCTAAAAAGGAAAGAAGGAAACAAGAGATTATAAAAACTGAGAGGACTGGAGAAAAAAACGAGAGAAACAGAGACATGATGTAACCCAAAGGAAGTGAAAGAGAGTGGGTATGGAAACAGACAAGGCAATGTGACGCATCATGTGATTGAGCTGTGATCACACATACAAACTCACACACACACACATCCCAATGCATACGGACGCATTTTGGAATATGGTCTCAGTTGGTTTTTCTTCGGTATGATTTGAATTAGTTTTAAAAAAAAAGACACAATAGGGTTAAACTCTAAATGGAGTACAGGGCCAAATGTACACATAATCTTAAAAGGAGGTTAGCGACATAATTTAGCAAAAAAAAAAAGACAGATATTCCTGAAATATAATGTTTTCATTAGAATTTTACCTCAATAAGATAAAAACTATTCCCAAAGCATCTTAGGTCTGAAAAGGGCTGCTAACATGAGGTTAAAGGTGTGCCTATACTAACAGGGTTCTATTGAGCTTACACAAATAAGCAGATAAATGTTTAATAATCATTGAAAGATGTACAAATATTACAGAAAAATTAATTTTAATATTATCTATCTACTGTAGAATTCTCTCAGTATTGAACATTTTAAAAGAATTTCAAATAGTCGCAAAAAAAAAAACCCTAAATAAACACCCTTGACAAGATAACAGGTTCCTATATTAGGGCTGGGCCATAAATCAAAATGAAAATATGTCCAGATAGACACTTGATCAATATTAATAAAAGAAATGTCAGATTAAATGGTTTGTAACTTCCCTGTTCCAGAATGCACTAACTTCTGGGGGATGTAGGCAAAGGGAACTCCTCTGGCTTGGCCTTATCCTCTTAACCTCTCACACAGAAACTAGGCAAAGCAGGTGACAGGGATGACCTCTTTTCAAAGATTACATTTGAATATGATAATCAATAATTATCAATATCGACTGGAAAGGCCTGTAATATAAACATTCTTTTTAACCTTAACACACAGCCGTACCCCATTTATGCAGAGGGAAAAGGTAAAAGAGGTGAGAAAGTATTTTGTATTGCAGATTATGATGGCAATATCCATAACCTAAATGATCACTAGAAATGTAGCTGCCATTCAGTTTCTGGCTTTTGAAAGTTGCACATAGCACTTCTCCCTTTTCATCTACGCAAAAGCAGAAACAAAAACACAAATGAAAAAATGGCAAAAGAACGCTCTTGGCATTATTATCCAATCCCAGGTTATCTTTAACACTCTTCTTTCCTCCCAAAACAGAGGCATTGCTTCTCCCTTCACTTCGGTTTTATCAACCTCTCTTCATTTTAGGTTGGTAGTCCAGAA